ATTTTATGTCGTCTGTGTGACTCTTTTGTGTATTACACTTAACTCTGGATCCCTCGTTTTAGTCTTTCATTGGGAAACTGTTTGTTGTTTCATACCCCATCTTTACCCTGGAGTATTATGCATGTTAGGATCATGTCTCCTCTTGTTTTAAGCCAGTTTTATTGTCATGATATCCAGTTTGTGCAGTTTTCATTCGTGGGTTTTATTTCTCACTATATAAACCACTGTAATTGCGGATGGTTTAATTTTCAGTTTCTATATAGACTACACTGGGTGTGGACTCCGATAAGATGCATAAAAAATAAAGGCCAGGCTCAAGTGTTATTAATTATAAAACTATTCGAATTGCGTCTCAGTTTTTTAAGTGCCTGGCTTGTGCTTTTATGAGATGTTTCCTAATGTTGAAAGTGGACTAAGTATTTTTATTTAATTGGTTACAGCTGCGGGGTTGAGGTGAAGATACCTTCTGTGTTCTGAAGCAAGTTCCTGCTTAAACCCTAAGAAGTAGTGATCCTCTGTATTTCAAAAGAGGTGTAAGACTCATCTTCGGTAGTCCGGCGGAAGCATAGCAAGATTCAAGTCATCTTTGGCCAAATCCCGCCTCAGAAAACACATTTTCTTTACGCTTGCATGACGAGAGAACCATCACTATACAACACACAAACAACTTTCACAGCTCATCTATGAAAATTCATATTGATTAATATCACTCGTGTCAGTGCAAGAAATCTTCACCTCCATAACGAAATCATTTGGACAAATGAAGGCTATAAAGCGTGTTGTAAATATAAAATTCTAACCACAGCGTTTATGACTGTGGTTCTGCATAAACGATGTCACATGTTTCTGTGATTATCTTGCAGAAAAATCTAGTTATTTTACTAGCCGGTAATGGTCTCGTGTTGTGTTTGTGCTTTCGATTTTTTACTAGCCGGTAATGGTCTCGTGTTGTGTTTGTGCTTTCGATTTTTTACTAGCCGGTAATGGTCTCGTGTTGTGTTTGTGCTTTCGATTTTTTTACTAGCCGGTAATGGTCTCGTGTTGTGTTTGTGCTTTCGATTTTTTACTAGCCGGTAATGGTCTCGTGTTGTGTTTGTGCTTTCGATTTTTTACTAGCCGGTAATGGTCTCGTGTTGTGTTTGTGCTTTCGATTTTTTTAGGTTATTAGATTTATTTTTGCTTCTGGTGTGTTAATGATTTAGGTTGTGTTGTAGTGGCCTTATGAAGGTATATTCACTCAGAGGATGATTGGTACTGATTGTAATATACTAATTTCATGCTGGTATATTCATTCAGAGGATGAGTAGCCTGTTATAGTATATTGGCTTTATGATGGTATATTCACTCAGAAAATGAGTAGTATTCACTGTAATATACTGAATTCATACCAATATATTCACTCAAAGGATGAATGACGCAAACCCAGAATATTCTCTCCTTGGAGCAAAATCTAAAAAAAAATGAATCTGTGTCACGGTATCAAAGCTGGAGACACCCCAGTGATTCTGAAGGTCTAAGAGGTCCTATGTGTACTTAATGAGTACACTAAGTACACATAGGACCGTATGTAAACACAGAGTAAAATACGAAGATATTGTACAATTTGTGTCCAGCAGGTGGTAATTAGTGGTTGTGGCGCTGTGTCACTGCAGTATATAACGTGACTTTGACGGCTGGTGGACGAATACGGACGCTGAGATCACCTAACGAATGCAAGTTAATAATTTTTAACTAATAATAACGCTATTTCTCACACTTCTCCCTCTATATAATCTACTGCCTTTTATCGAAGCTCTCATGAAGTACATGACATTGCGTACTTAATTTTACATCGTAAATGTATTTGGAATGTTTTTAAACCGCATTTAATTAGAATATTCCATACATGTTCTTGTTGACACGCCCACCAATATGACTTCATATTTATCTTCTTCTTCAGACAACTGGTGGAATCCTTCCAGCAGTCTAACATATTTTTTTTGATCAGTCAATAAATATATATCAATAAATATATCTTTGTTTTATTGCGTATTCTTCAGAATGTTTGTGTCTTGTGATTTCTGGTTCCTGACTGCGGATGGTTCAGGTCCACTGTCTCTGTTGAACTCTGTTTCCGGGTGGTTAAGGTCCACTCTCTGTTGGGTCGTTTTCCAAGTACAAAACTCCACCATGACCAAAATGTCACAATACCGTGACTGGAACAGTACACAAATAACCCGCACATAGAAGAGAGGAACTTATGATGACGTTTCGGTCCAATTCAACCCTTTACAAAAACTCTCCCCTATGTGCGGGTTATTTGTGTATCGAAACTATGTGATGCACCTCACTCCATGCAACCGTAAGTGTATCATTATAACCAGAGGTCACAAGTTTCGTCCCACGGAGGTCACGATAGGTTTTAAACCTCAGTTGAGCAAGCAACTAGCTTGCCATGTTCTCTTGCAAATACCGTAACTGATCTAAATGAGCTTAAAGAAAATAAGAGCTGAGAGAGGTGGAAGCGGTAAAAAATACGTCGAAAATCTGACGTATTAAAATATTGATAGTTTGACCCACCACCGTCAAGGGGGCAGCACTATCTTCAAGTCACTACATTTGCGCATTTAGTTAGGTTAGGTTAGGTAAGGTTCGTCAGGAAACAGGACAAATGTTTCCTGACGCGGGTCTTAGTCAGATGATGACCCGCCTTTGGAGCTTTTGGTCATCTGACCGAGGCCTTCCACTGGCTTACCGGTCCACCCCTTTAAAAATTATGGTCATTTATAACCATTGTTATTATTTTTTTTACGCATTTAGTAAATGCATTTTTACTTTCATTGCTTTGTAAATTCTACAATTAACACTGCTGTTGTATTATACAGTAGGAATGAAAGATTGGAATACGAAATGGAGAACGTACAGGACGTGTAGTTATTTTGTCAGCTACAAATAATTTAATAAATTAGACACAATACAACACTTGGGTACTTTATTGTGACAACGTTTCGCCACAGTGGTTTCCTCAGTGGCGAAACGTTCCCAGAATGAAGATGTAGGTGAATGGTTCTCTGAACCATTTGTTGGTGTAAGACACATGAAGACCCTCTCAGTTAGAAGACACTTGTCCAACAGTTAGGTATCTCTATGCCGAAACGTTTCGCCTACACAGCAGGCTTCTTGAGTCGAGTGCAGAGGCAGCAGAAAGAGTAGAGCATGTGAAGACGATGTCATCAGTCCATCGTTCTGGAAGACGTAGTTTTGGGGTGGTCAGTCCCCCAGCCAGAAGAAGAGCACTGCTTCAGAGTCTGGAACACTGTAGTTGAGGTATCAGTATGGAGACTCAGGTCTTCCTGACGCTGCTGTCAGTCATGAGGACCGTCCCAGGGGGACTTTTGGCCATGTAACTGAGGCCTATTTCTTAAAAAAAATAATATTTAGGACCCACAGTTGCTACTTTCTTCAAATTTTTTTTTATATATTTTTTTCTACGTTGCTTATTGACGTCTATTATTCTTGAATGATATAATAAGAACATAAGAACGAAGGAACACTGCAGAAGGCCTACTGGCACATGCGAGGCAGGTCCAAGTCTCCTACCGGCTTAAGTCAATGCACCCAATCTAGTCAGGTCAGGTCACATTGACTTAAGGGAGGAACACGGCAACCGACCTGGTAGCACAAGCTATCAGGTCCAACTCACACCCACCCACATCCACTCATGTATTTATTCAACCTATTTTTAAAGCTACACAACGTTCTGGCCTCTATAACTGTACTAGGGAGTTTGTTCCACTCATCCACAACTCTATTACCAAACCAGTACTTTCCTATATCCTTCCTGAATCTGAATTTTTCCAACTTAAAACCATTGCTGCGAGTCCTGTCTAGGCTAGATATTTTCAGCACACTATTTACATCCCCTTTATTTATTCCTGTCTTCCATTTATACACCTCAATCATATCCCCCCTAATTCTACGTCTTTCTAGAGAGTGCAGATTCAGGGACCTCAGTCTATCCTCATAGGGAAGGTTTCTGATACATGGGATCAACTTTGTCATCCTCCTTTGCACATTTTCCAGAGCATTTATATCCATTATGTAATACATTCTGTAATACGCTTCTATGGACACAGTCACACACAAAAAAAAAACTCTCGGGGGATTTTGACATCTCTCTCTTCTTGTTTTTGGTATAGTAAACACGTGGAATTTACTACGTATACAATGTATATTATATAAATTTTACCTGTCACTCTATGTTGATATATTCCTTATAAGACTGACCACAAAATAATATAATATCATAATTATTCACGTCGGTAAAAATTATAATTTGTGTGTATATATCTATCTATATATATATATATATATATATATATATATATATTATATATATATATATATATATATATATATATATATATATATATATATATATATATATATATATATATATATTTTCATTATTATTATTTTATTATTATTATTACCATTAGCATTATTATAATTATTATTATTATTACCATTATTATTATTATTACCATTATTATTGTTATTATTATTATTATTATTATTATTATTATTATTATTATTATTATTATTATTATATTATTATTATTATTATTATTATTATTATTATTATTATTATTACCATTATTATTATTATTATTATTATTATTATTATTATTATTATTATTATTATTATTATTATTATTATTATTATTATTATTATATGAGTAGTTTCCTTGTGAACTGTGTGTACGTCTGTGTGTACGTCTGTGTTCATTATGTGTCTTTTATTATCCGTGACTATTTTTTTTCTATAGGATCCAGTGAGCCACCGAAATAAATTTCATAAATTTTGGGTTTCGAGAGCTTTTACTTTTGTCATCTAATTTATTCGTGAATAAACTTATTCACATCGAATTGCTTAGATAAAACATGTATAAATCTGGGCAAGAGAATGAAAAAACAAAGGACTGGGTGTTTATTAATTTATTATAAACCTTCTGATTGGTGATGTTCAGATGTTTGTCACGGCGAGTCTCTGTATAAGAAGAAAATATACATTGGTTATTGTAAATTATTTGTTTAGGGCAGAAGGAAATGGTTGGGAAGGTCATAGGTCTTTGACTGAGGTGCTTACTAGGCTTCTAAGAGCCAATGTTTTCAGTTCTGTGATAAACCAAGTAGTATGGTGGGAGAGTGTAAGAAAAACATTATTCATTGAGGATATAAACCCAAGAGTAAACCCAGCTGACCTTACTTAAACCTCATCGTCCGTATCCATATCCGAATCCACCAAAACCGCGTCCATACCCCCCGTAGCCACCGTAGCCACCGTAGCCACCGTAGCCACCGTAGCCACCGTATCCACCATATCCACCATAGCCGCCATAGCCGCCATAGCCAAGATATCCTGGGAGAGGTGCTGCCTCAGGTCTGGCCAGGACCACCACCAGGACACCAGCCAACACCAACACCATCATCATCACCTGCAACACAAAACATTCTTTAAAACTTACGATACAAAATATGTGCAGGTCAAAGCACCTGTATGATCCCCATATATCAGCAGATCTCAGCACAGCACTAGCTGACGTCAACACAGCACTAGCTGGCCTCATCACAGAATTAGCTGGTCATATCACAGAACTAGCTGGCTTCATCACAGAACTAGCTGGCTTCAACACAGTACTAGCTAGCCCCAAACAGCACCAGCTGGCCTCACCACAGCACCATCTGTTGCTCAGTACTCCGAATAAGAGTGTCTATCTCACTCACAGCAGTGGAAACCATCTTGGCCAAGTACAAGAATCCTCTTGTCGACGAGTCACAGGTGACACTGTCCACCAGCCGTCACCACCACCTTATATACCAACAAACTTGGGTCCTCTCAAGACCCTCCTGTCAACCACACTAATTACTGACCATCTCACCATGCAATCTCTACCCCGGTGTTGTAACCGTCAGGCGAAAAAGGCATCACAGAATCTTCAAAATAGAACAAAAAATCACAATACCGTGACTGCAACAATATACAAACAACCCGCATGTAGGGCAATGAAACAATGACACCGTCTCGGTCCGACTTGAACCACTGGACTAGTTAATAGCCCTAGTCAGACCGAAACGTCGTCATACGGGTTATTTGTATAGAATCATCCGTATGTTCTGATTTCGTCCTTCCCAAGTATTATTACGGAACTATATGTTAATATACGGTAGCCTAACCTAACCTAACCCAATTTATTCGAGTAAAATTAGTTATATTAAGAAAGGCATATCTGTGAAAGAAACTGACCAAATTTAAGGATACGTAGGCTGGTTAATGGGGTTTAATGCCTATCTACTACACGAGGGTCATTAAGGCTGCCTATCACCTGTACACCACCGACCAAGAATATTTTAATACCTAGAAAAGTGATTAAATTAAGCTCACAGTGTATATACCCTGAGAGTATATACCCTGAGAGTATATAGCTTAGAGCAAATAAAAAGTAAGTTACTATGTTAAAATAACTGGTGTGAGTTATATACATTATCGTTATTTCTTTAAACGAAGGTCACAGAGGAACAGGTGATAAAGAGTAGTTACTAGAACGATACGATAATAAGACTTCGTGCTGATGATACCGAAGAAGAGCTGTCAATGTTCCCTTATACATAGCAGTAAGTAGGTACCAGGGTGTTAGTCACCTTACACATGTTGCCCCTGTTCACCTAGCAGTAAGTAGGTACCTGGGTGTTAGTAACCGTACACCTGTTATCCCTGCTCACCTAGCAGTAAAATAGTTACCTGGGTGTTAGTCACCTTACACCTGTTGTCCCTGTTCGCCTAGCAGTAAGTAGGTATCTGGGTGTTAGTCACCTAGCAGTAAGTAGGTACCTGGGTGTTAGTCGAGTGTTATGGCTGGCATCCCAGGGGATGTTATTACGTCTCAGAGATGAGCTGATCTTAGACTCATCTTAGATTGGTCTTAGACTGGCCTATTCACCTCTGATTCTTATGCCTGTTATTCTATTTATTTTTTTCCACTTCCTTTCTTAGTATGTTGGTAATTTTTTTTATGTTTCATTAATTATATTGTTAATAATCTTTTCATGACTTTAAAAGTCTATCGATTATATGAAGGTCGTTAAGGCTGTGTCAAAGTGACTTTAATACATAAAATTTTCATTTAAGAATAAGTGTTTATACTCCGAGAGATGTATATATATATATATATATATATATATATATATATATATATATATATATTGTGTGTGTGTGTGTGTGTGTGTGTGTGTGTGTGTGTGTGTGTGTGTGTGTGTGTGTGTGTGTGTGTGTGTGTGTGTGTGTGTGTGTGTGTGTGTTGTGTGTGTGTGTGTGTGTGTGTGTGTGTGTGTGTGTGTGTGTGTGTGTGTGTGTGTGTGTGTGTGTGTGTTGTGTTGTGTGTGTGTGTGTGTGTGTGTGTGTGTGTGTGTGTGTGTGTGTGTGTGCGTGTGCGTGTGAGAAAGTTGTTTAAGGTCACACAGTATTTTTAGCAGTCAAACAGATGGTCTGTAATAGCAGGATTTAAATTACCTTCTTCTTCGGTGTCCTAAATACTCGCACTAAAATAAGCGGATATTGCACCACAGGGGACCAGGAGGCAGTAATTAGCGGTTGTGGCACTGTATCAGGTTGTAGGTTGACGGTATATAAGGTGGCAGTGACGACTTTTGGGCAGTGTCAACTGTTACTCCCTGACAAGAGGACTCCTGCACCTGGCGAAGATGGTTTCCACAGCTGTGAGTGACACAGACACTCTTGATGCTTGCTTGATATTATGTGAAATCTTTTGGCCTACGAATGTAAAGTTGTAAAAAATAATGTTTTGTGTTGCAGGTGATGATGATGGTGTTGGTGTTGGCTGGTGTCCTGGTGGTGGTCCTGGCCAGACCTGAGGCAGCACCTCTGCCTCTCCCTGGATATCTTGGCTATGGTGGATATGGAGGATATGGTGGATATGGTGGCTACGGTGGATATGGCGGATATGGTGGATTTGGACGCGGCTATGGTGGATTTGGCTTCGGACGCGGATACGGATTTGGCTACGGACGCTGAAGTTGAAGCCAGGTGAGCTGGGAAGACTAATATTGACGTCTTACAGTACGTAAATTAAAATGATTAATTCATGTTAAACGCTAATCCCATGCTGGTCATTCAGCGCAAGACGTGGTGCAGGCTTGATCCTCCGTCTGCTTTTACCGGACATGACAAAAAAAATATACTCAAACTCCTCTCACAGTTCCCCTCGTAGCACACATCCAACTTTTACAAGATAAACACAACATACATCTGCATTCAACTTGGCTCGTAATTGAGTTAATGAACCTTTCTCTAAATAATTTCCCCCTATATCTGAAGAAATATTTCATATCTCCTATAGTTATTATATACCAGTGTACAATGAGTGTATTTTTCTTCCTCAGAGCTGCACTGTGGTATATAAGGGAGCCTCACAGTCAATCTTAAATGGCTTACGATAAATAAATTTAGAAATAATAAGGTTTATTTTTGTTTCCCTCTGTATTATCTAAAAATATGTATGTTGTCCCTTACTGTGTGGATGTAAATATGTGACTAGATGCTAGTGTATTGTTTTTATTATAAAAATAGAAGTTTTCGCGTTTTCAGGTGGAACTAGCTGGAAAAACTACCCTGATTATAATGAATACTTGATAGGCTCTTGATCCAAAGTACTAAACTTGTCCTCCCGTTCCTTTGATTAAACATGAACACCTTTTATTCCACGGGCAGTACGAAACCACTACAACTTTTTAGCCTTTCCTTGATTTAAATAAGGGTCGCTAAACTCACAGTTCTACATGATGATTTTGCTGCAGTTGGTTCATTGTATTAATGTTGGTAGAATTACCGACATGTGTCCTTTTACCGAACAAGTTGGTTCATTCATCTACACTTGCTGTAATAGTGGATAGAAATGCTCGTTGGAGAGGAGGAGACTGACTCACGTGAAGGTGTCCACAAGGGTGACCCTTTCTCGCCCTCTCCTTTCTATCTAGCCATCAACATGGTCACAGTGAACCCCTGGCTAGTTGGGTTAACATCCGGCTCTTTATGACGGCACCCTGGTCAAAAACCACAGAATTCCTACTGAAAGATATCTGAATTATCCAAGAACAAGGAGGCACTCTAGGTTTCTTCCTAAACCCACTGAAATGTGAACTGGTGTCCTCCAGTCAACACACCAGTGAACAAGTCACAGCTGCTAGGAGTCAAAGTCATTCATACTCTCCTTGGTCCTCCACTTGGGTTTAAGGCTATTGGTGAAATTCTATAAAAAAAAAAAAATCCATGGCTTTAAAAGTATGGAAACCAGGATATGTAACATTGACACCCATGATGCCTTCTATCTCCTCCCCAAATTTCTGTCCCTAACCTACCTTTTTTTTAAATGCTCTCCATTCATTGGCAGCCCCAAATGAGAGAACACGATATTCTTCTAAAGTTCAAGCTAGGAAAAAGGGCTGAACTTTTCCCTGGACGAATCACAGTGGGAGCAAGCTACACTTCCTGCCAGAGTAGTGGGGCTGGGTACATGTACAGCCTCTCAGATTGCCTTGCAAACTTCTTTTCTCTAATAGATCTAATAAACTGGCGAAGTAAATTCTACCAAAGAATATATTCAAGCTGGCAGGGGTGGATGACACCAGCTACACTAGTGCACTAGTCCGTGGGATTCTTTTCAGTGCAGACATCCAGACCAGCTGTGACTTGTACTCACAAACAATCCAGTTATGAGAGCAACATCGTGGAAAATATTTCTGCAGTTACGTTAGAGGGTGCAAGCTGTGACTGCACGTTACTCAGGAGATTTTCTCCCAACATTTCCAATTTCTGCAACAAACCCTTCACATTGCAGTGCCTCTCCACCTTGTTGCCTCTCTTCACATTAGGAACAAGAGTAAACGTTGCAAGGTGGTTACTGGCTAAAATGGTCTGCGTTGTTTGAACTAAGCTTCAAGATGAACCTTACTACACAGCCCAGTGCCCAGCCAAGAGAGAATCTCTATATTTATTAGCCTGTAACCCAGATATGCCCACCAGCCGCCATGATGGCACCACATAATGCCCCTGGAAGAACAGCAGACTATTGGTGTATGACTACTTGTACACCCACCCTCCCTTATACCTGCATCCCAGTTAGTGCTGGTCAGCTGAGCGGTGCTGCTGATCACATGAACTTACACATAAACTCAGCAAGTATAGGGACCTAGCTAGCCAATATCCGCTCCGTTACTATAGGATCAGAAACCCTTGGCCCCCTGGGAGAGCAAGCCTTGGGTGTCCTCAGAGAGCTGGGCTTCAGGTTCATGGTAGACACCGGGGACCTGAGACCTGCCACTTTCCCCTTTATTATTATTTTATTTATTATCACACTGGCCGATTCCCACCAAGGCAGGGTGGCCCGAAAAAGAAAAACTTTCACCATCATTCACTCCATCACTGTCTTGCCAAAAGTGTGCTTTACACTACAGTTTTTAAACTGCAACATTAACACCCCTCCTTCAGAGTGCAGGCACTGTACTTCCCATCTCCAGGACTCAAGTCCGGCCTGCCGGTTTCCCTGAACCCCTTCATAAATGTTACTTTGCTCACACTCCAACAGCACGTCAAGTATTAAAAACCATTCGTCTCCATTCACTCCTATCAAACACGCTCACGCACGCCTGCTGGAAGTCCAAGCCCCTCGCACACGAAAACTCCTTTACCCCCTCCCTCCAACCTTTCCAAGGCCGACCCCTACCCCGCCTTCCTTCCACTACAGACTGATACACTCTTGAAGTCATTCTGTTTCGCTCCATTCTCTCTACATGTCCGAACCACCTCAACAACCCTTTATTATTATTATTATTATTATTATTATTATTATTATTATTATTATTATTATTATTATTATTATTATTATTATTATTATTATTATTCAAAATAATTAATATTATTGTAATATTATTATTAAATTAAGCGCTAAGCCCGCAAGAGTCATACGGCGCTGCGGGGAGAGATGTGTGAAAATAGTTCTTACGACACGAATGCTTGACGGGGGAAGAATCCTTCCCCCGTAAGCCATGCGTGTCGTAAGAGGCGGCTAAGAGGCCGAGAGCAAGAGGCTGGAAACCCGTTTCTCATGTATAAATTACTAAGTGTAAAAAGAAGAAAAGATTCCTGAAAATATTTCTTTTTCTGGTCACCCAGCCAAGGTGGGAGACGACTGGTGTGTGTGTGTGTGTAAAAGTTATATACTAAGAGAGAGAGAGAGAGAGAGAGAGAGAGAGAGAGAGAGAGATACTAGTCGGTCCACCCTAAAAATTAGAGAGGCTATCCTAACCCATTATCGCATCCGTAGATGCAATATTGCACACCTGTGATGAAGTAGTTGGTAATTTGTGGTTATTTACAGTAGTTAGGTAAGCCATTGACGGTATATAAGGTGGCAGTGACAGCTGGCGGACAGTGTCAACTGTTACTCCCTGACAAGAGGACTCCTGCACCTGACCAAGATGGTCTCCACAGCTGTGAGTGACACAGACACTCTTGACACTTCCTTGATATCACGTGAAATCTACTTTTTTCCTCGCTTTGAGTGACACAGACACTGATCAACAGCTGGTGTTCTGTTGATACCATTTGTGTTGAGGCCAGCTGGTGCTCTCTTGAGGCCAGCTGAGAGCGTCACACTCGAGTAAAAAAGTTACTGAAGCCACAACGAAAGGATAACGAATCCTTTTATATTTATTATCTTTTTTTTATTATCACACCGGCCGATTCCCACCAAGGCAGGGTGGCCCGAAAAAGAAAAACTTTCACCATCATTCACTCCATCACTGTCTTGCCAGAAGGGTGCTTTACACTACAGTTTTTAAACTGCAACATTAACACCCCTCCTTCAGAGTGCAGGCACTGTACTTCCCATCTCCAGGACTCAAGTCCGGCCTGCCGGTTTCCCTGAATCCCTTCATAAATGTTACTTTGCTCACACTCCAACAGCACGTCAAGTATTAAAAACCATTTGTCTCCATTCACTCCTATCAAACACGCTCACGCATGCCTGCTGGAAGTCCAAGCCCCTCGCACACAAAACCTCCTTTACCCCCTCCCTCCAACCCTTCCTAGGCCGACCCCTACCCCGCCTTCCTTCCACTACAGACTGATACACTCTTGAAGTCATTCTGTTTCGCTCCATTCTCTCTACATGTCCGAACCACCTCAACAACCCTTCCTCAGCCCTCTGGACAACAGTTTTGGTAATCCCGCACCTCCTCCTAACTTCCAAACTACGAATTCTCTGCATTATATTCACACCACACATTGCCCTCAGACATGACATCTCCACTGCCTCCAGCCTTCTCCTCGCTGCAACATTCATCACCCACGCTTCACACCCATATAAGAGCGTTGGTAAAACTATACTCTCATACATTCCCCTCTTTGCCTCCAAGGACAAAGTTCTTTGTCTCCACAGACTCCTAAGTGCACCACTCACTCTTTTTCCCTCATCAATTCTATGATTCACCTCATCTTTCATAGACCCATCCGCTGACACGTCCACTCCCAAATATCTGAATACATTCACCTCCTCCATACTCTCTCCCTCCAATCTGATATTCAATCTTTCATCACCTAATCTTTTTGTTATCCTCATAACCTTACTCTTTCCTGTATTCACCTTTAATTTTCTTCTTTTATATATACCATTTAATTCTGGTGAGAATGTCACACATTGCTGGAACACTCTTTAACTGGGACAACGTTTTACTCTACACAGGGCGAAACTTCGTCCTAATAGAGCCTCTTTCTGTAATACAGATGTAGCAGCCATTCATGACTATATTGTGTTGATGTTATGATGCTGTATTGATGTGGTAATGACTGTTGTTTGCAGGTGATGGTGTTGATGGTGCTGGCTCTGGGTACCATCGATATAACCCATGGTGGTCGTAGCTACAGTGTGAGCCATATTGGATATGGTGGATATGGTGGTTACGGTGGATACGGTGGCTTTGGCGGCTACGGAGGCCCATATGGTGGATATGGATATGGATTTGGCAGCGGCTTTGGTGGATATGGCAGACCATATGGCATCTACGGAAGCACGGGTGGATTTGGTGGGTTTGGATATGGTGGCGGATATGGAGGATATGGAGGCTTCAGGGATGGATACGTGTACGGCCGTGTACATGGATACGGACGATAGCGTCTAGACTGGTCATGGTAAGACGAAGAATGACCTTTCTTTATCTTAATTTGTTGTCACGTCTCTGTTCCATCACTTTCCAGAGGTCATTGTGTTGGTGGTTTATAGGGCTACTGACGGCTCAGGCCGTATCGAGCCCTATTATCCCATTCTCTATGATCCGTCACACACACACACACACACACAGAGGCGGGGCCAGGAGCTAAGACTCGTCCCCTGTAACCACAAATAGGTGAGTACACACCCACACACACACACACACACACACACACATACACACACACACACACACACACACACACACACACACACACACACACACACACACACACACACACTGCGTGTAAGTTTATTGAGGTACAGGTACACATAAATATAGTTACACAAATTAACATACATAGTAACATATGTGTAACTTATCCAGGATAACCCAAAAAAAGTGAAAGTGACTTATTTCCGTTGGGTTTCTTGTAATATCTTGTACTCACTTAGTTGTGGTTGCGGGGGGCGAGTCACAGCTGTGTGTGTGTGTGTGTGTGTATGCCTTTGTGTTTTGGGTTCTGGCAACTTATTTTCATAAATTAGGCCTATGAATGGGGCTAGTACCGATCCTTATGGGACCCTCTGGTGACCTTAGCCCACTGTGAGAACAATTTCCCCTAAAATCCCATCCATTGCTAGATATTTATCCCTTCTAATTCCCCTTGCCCTCTGCCCCAATATTTTCCGGTTCACATACACAAAGAATTTTTTTAGTAATCGAAAGATAAAATTATGGTAGTCGAGTATTTAATTCCAAATGTAATTTCCAGAGATCTCCAGTCGAAGTCGAAGTGTCTCCTTCGCTGGAAAAGATTCATTTACTTTTAACATTGTACTGACCTATTTGTGATTGCAGGGGTCGATTCACAGCTCCTAGCCCCGAATCTTCACTCTTCGCTACTAGGCCCACTCCCCCTGTTCCAAGAGCCTTATTGTACCTCTGTCACCGGATTAATAATCTGAATAAATGTTACTGGATTACCATTGTTTGATTTCTGATGACTCACAACGGTAGAGCCACTTAAGAGGCACCTAATTTCCTCCGTCTCCTAATATCATGTTCATTTTTCCACTATAATCTACCTTGTACATAATTACTATCACATTCGCTTTGTCTGTTTCGTAAGGTGAAGTCCAGGATCTTTCCTTAATTCATGGTATAACTTAACACATATTTGAGGAGAATTGTGTTGTAGAGGTGTGAGCAAAGTTCAGACCTTTGTAACACAGTTAATGGGGGTTTAAAGTCTATTGACTACACGATGGTCATTAAGGCTGCTTGTCACCTCTACACCACCAGTCATGTGTATATACAATATACAATACATACAATATACAATACATACAATTCTCAGTGTATATCATGTGCGATGCTCATTTTTTTTTTTTTTTTTTGGCTGGGTTATTGCCTAAAATAAATTTAAACGATCCTGTCTTAACAAAACTGTAGTTATTTATAAAAAATCCTAATCTATCTAAAAATATATTAATTTTAAATAACAGAATACAATGATATATTATAATTCAATATGAAGAAAGTATATATATTTAAGTGGTTAATTAAAATTATTTTTGGGTTAAAGGTTCTCAGTACTTTCTCAAGGTCTGTAATTTCTCCTGCGTTAACAGAGTCTGTTAATGTACAGCAATTCCAGACTAGATGGAACAAGTGTAATTATATCTTATTTTTCAAGAACCCGGTGCCCCGGTGCCCCGGTGCCCCGGTGCCCCGTGGCCTGGTGGCTAAAGCTCTGGTTTCACATGGCGAGTGCCTGGGTTCGATTCCCAATGAGGGTAGAAACACTAGGCGTGTTTATTTTCACCGATTATGTTCATCCATCAGTATAAAATGGGTACCTGGGTGTTAGTCGACTGGTGTGGGTCGCATCCTGGGACAAAACTGACCTAATTACGGGAAATGCTCAGTATAACAAGTGGCTTTCTATATAGTAGTATGTCACTGATGTCAGCTATGGTCTGTATACCTTGTACATGTACTGGTAGAAATAAAGATATTATTATTATTATTATTATTATTATTATTATTATTATTATTATTAATTATTATTAGTAGTAGTAGTAGTAGTAGTAGTATTCTAAGAGTCCAGTCTATTTTGTCTGGTCAATAGATTAGCCTTCAGTAAACAGGTCGCATCGAAGGTATTGTGACAGTCCAGGAAGGCGCAGTTCACCCAGCCTTTCCAGGCACTGTGGTAAACTTAACCAGCCGATGATCTACGGAGCAGCAGAGAAAAACTTACTTTTATGGCATATTTCGAAGTTCCAGAGCGATTTTTGGGTGTTTTCGTACTTAAAGCAAATTCTCCTATTAAGACTAATCGATAGTAGTAAACGCGGTTTAAGAGACCATCCAGAACTGAACACCAATTAAAAATAAGACCTCCATATACGTGCCATTAATTTTTTTTTTCAATCGCATTTACCCAAAAAATCCCACTGTATAAAAGGCCGTTATAAGAGAGTTGACTCTATAACAGTGTTTCCCCACTGTTTACCACAGTCGCTTCTACTGTGCTCGTGGGAGCAACACCTGAGAGCTGTCCACTCCTCTTCCATCTAAATAAAAGTCATCAACTCATCAATCTTCGCCTTGTTCATCAACTTTACCACACCAGGTGAGTATTGATCATACATATTGATGCTTAGAAATGTTTATTTAAAATAAATAATAATAATAATAATAATAATAATAATAATAATAATAATAATAATAATAATAATAATAATAATAATAATGACATTAAATAATATTATTTATTTTCTGGAATTTCACTTACTGGTTTTAGTTATCTTTCAGTGTCTGTATCCATATCCACTGCCATAGCTGCCATAGCCGCTGCCATAACTGCCATAACTGCTGCCATAGCCACTGCCGTATCCAAGCCCATAGCCGGTGCCATAGCCGTCATATCCAAGTCCATATCCGATGCTATAGTCATGTCCACGTCTATAACCGCTGCCATAGCCGCCGTATCCATAACCCAAGCCGCCTCTATAGCCTCCATAGCCGCCATAGCCACTGGCGTAGCCACCATGGGCAGAGCGCTGGCTACGGAAGCCTCCTACCTCAGACGACGCTCCGGGATGGGCCGATGACAACACCAACAAAACAGCCACAACACCCGACACCATCACCTGAAACATATGTTCAACATGTGTTAATGGTTGAGACACATGTGCAGCACTTGGTTGTCTCTATTGAAGAAACATTTCGCCTGCTCAGCAGCCTTCTTCACTAGAAAACAGAGGGAGGGTGGGACTGTAACCCTACGTATGTTTTGTTTATAAGGACGTAAGAAAGATGGATTTAACGTGGATACGAAGGATTGGAATAGTGAAAAGAAGTGAGAAAGATTTTGGATAGACAGGAAAAGAAAGGCTGTGGGTAGACAGAAAAGGGAGACAAGAATGTGAGTAGACAGGAACAGGGAGGTAAGAATGTAGGTAGACAGGAACAGGGAGGTAAGAATGTAGGTAGACAGGAACAGGGAGGTAAGAATGTAGGTAGACAGGAACAGGGAGGTAAGAATGTAGGTAGAGAGGAAGAGAGAAAAGCAACATCAAAGGTATATGGTACGATAAGTTGACAAATTAAACATATCTAACAACTGGGTATCTCTACTAAGTCGACGTTTCGCCAACCAGTGACTTTATCAGTACACTACAGAAGACTAAAGGGTTAGAAGATGAGGTAATCAGTCCCACAGCCTAGGAGGAAGTGTTCAGCCTAGGACCTAGTGTTCAACCTAGGAGCAAGTGTTCAGCCTAGGAGCAAGTGTTCAGCCTAGGACCTAGTGTTCAGCCTAGGAGGCAGTGTTCAGCCTAGGAGCAAGTGTTCAGCCTAGGAGGCAGTGTTTAGCCTAGGAGCAAGTGTTCAGCCTAGGAGGTAGTGTTCAGCACCGCAAGAGGGCCATTTTTCTCACATAGCGTCCGTCTAGAATACAAATACACTAGACAACACTCACAGTTCTGGAGACCATCTTCTCTAGGTACAAGGAATCCTCCTGTCAGGGCAGTCACAGGTGACACTGTCCACCAGGCGTCGCTTATATACCATCAGCATCTCACCTAACACCTGAACCACAACCGCTAATTACTGCCTTCCACACCTGGAATTTCACTGCCAACTCATTCTTGAGGTGACGTGAACTTGAAGGGAAATAGTACTCTCTTAACCTCCTGCAGGAACAACCCAGCTGTTTTCTGTTTATTGTAGGAGTAACAGACTATCGTTCTCTTTATTGTAGGAGTAACAGACTATCGTTCTCTTTATTGCAGGAGTAACAGACTATCGTTCTCTTTATTGTAGGAGTAACAGACTATCGTTCTCTTTATTGTAGGAGTAACAGACTATCGTTCTCTTTATTGTAGGAGTAACAGACTATCGTTCTCTTTATTGTAGGAGTAACAGACTATCGTTCTCTTTATTGTAGGAGTAACAGACTATCGTTCTCTTTATTGTAGGAGTAACAGACTATCGTTCTGTTTACTGCAGGTTTTAACAAACCATCGTTTAAATTAGTGTACTCGCAGGAAAGATTCTGAAGCTAGTTCTAATATATGTCTTCTGGGTTGATCTCTAACAGCTAGTTGTTACAGCTTCAATAGAGCTTGTCCGACTCCTCTGGCAGTTTCTTGTCTTTCTTACGTCGTTCTTCTTGTCATGTTCGTTTTGTTTGCCACAGTGGATAGTAGGGAATCAGTCCCTAAGCACAGGAAACATTAGTCTGTATACTGACAGAATACAGATGTTTCGCTCTAGCGACTTGGTTACTTCAGTTGTTAAATTGATAAGGTTCCTAGTGGGCGAAATGTTTCTTATTAAGGGAAACAAGAGCCCTCAAGCATCAAGGCACCTATAATGAAGGGAACCCTCACTCTAGGTATTCATGATTGGTGGTGAACAGGTGATAGATGGCCTTAATGGCCCTCGTGTAGTAGATAGGCTTCAAACCCAACATGCCAACCAAGCAATCATACAAGTTTAAATACTCCCATCAGATGATCTTTATCACATCAGCTGATCTCATGACAGCATCAGCTGACACTATCACAACATCAGCTGATCTCACCACAGCATCAGCTGACACTATCACAACATCAGCTGATCTCACCACAGCATCAGCTGACACTATCACAACATCAGCTGATCTCACCACAGCATCAGCTGACACTATCACAACATCAGCTGATCTCACCACAGCATCAGCTGACACTATCACAACATCAGCTGATCTCACCACAGCATCAGCTGACACTATCACAACATCAGCTGATCTCACCACAGCATCAGCTGACACTATCACAACATCAGCTGATCTCACCACAGCATCAGCTGACACTATCACAACATCAGCTGATCTCACCACAGCATCAGCTGACACTATCACAACATCAGCTGATCTCACCACAGCATCAGCTGACACTATCACAACATCAGCTGATCTCACCACAGCATCAGCTGACACTATCACAACATCAGCTGATCTCACCACAGCATCAGCTGATCTCACCACAGCATCAGCTGATCTCACCACAACATCAGCTGATCTCACCACAGCATCAGCTGACACTATCACAACATCAGCTGATCTCACCACAGCATCAGCTGACACTATCACAACATCAGCTGATCTCACCACAGCATCAGCTGATCTCACCAGCATCAGCTGATCTCACCACAACATCAGCTGATCTCAGCCACAGCTTCAGCTGACACTAATCACAACATCAGCTGATCTCACCACAGCATCAGCTGACACATCACAACATCAGCTGATCTCACCACAGCATCAGCTGACACTATCACAACATCAGCTGATCTCACCACAGCATCAGCTGATCTCACCACAGCATCAGCTGACACTATCACAACATCAGCTGATCTCACCACAACATCAGCTGATCTCACCACAGCATCATGCTGATCTCACCACAGCATCAGCTGATCCTCACCACACATCAGCTGATCTCACCACAGCATCAGCTGACACTATCACAACATCAGCTGATCTCACCACAGCATCAGCTGACACTATCACAACATCAGCTGGTCTCACCACAGCATCAGCTGACACTATCACAAACATCAGCTGATCTCACCACAGGCATCAATGACACTATCACAACATCAGCTGGTCTCACACACAGCATCAGCTGACACTATCACAACACACTGGTTCAACCACAGATCAGCTGACACTATCACAACATCAGCTGGTCTCACCACAGCATCAGCTGACACTATCACAACATCCAGATGGAATCATAAAACATAACACCGACACTTGAACATATTTATTAATGTAAATTATTTAAGAAGTTGACTTTGAGATTCTCCAAATAATTGTTTCTGTAAAGAAAAAAAAATCTATGTAGTTAAAAATATAATTTTAATCAAATATATATACGATTATTTGCCTGATTATAATTGTTATATTTATTTTATAAGTCTTTTTATGAGTTCAGTTCAAAATACTTATTTCTAGAAATGGCAAAAACTCCAAAAAATGGTGATATATGGATGAAATTTTAATTTTTGAGAAAATGTTTTTAGATGAGTAAATATTGTGGAGGAGTCTGGGTAAAATTTTTTTTTTTTTTTAATGGGAGACTTTAATAAGTTTAGGTCAGTAAATAATGCTTACTGGAGTCTGCATGTCCTTAGCGGCCATACCCGTAGCCTCCTCCATAGCCTCTTCCATAGCCTCCTCCATAGCCTCCTCCATAGCCTCCTCCATAGCCTCCTCCATAGCCGCCTCCATAACCGCCTCCATAACCTCCGAAACCACCTCCGAAGCCTCGGAAACCACCACCATATCCTCCCAGGCCGCCAAATCCACCCAAACCGCCACCATATCCTCCACCATAACCGCCATATCCTCCACCATAGCCGCCATATCCACCATATCCTCCACCATAACCGCCATATCCACCACCATAGCCGCCATATCCACGACTATAGCCACCATAGCCTGAGCCAGCAGTAGGAGCAGCCTCTGGTCTGGCCAGAGTCACCACCAGCAGACAACACATCACACTCATCACTCGCAATGTCTGAAACAAATAATTAACATATTAACTAATATATTTATCATCTTTGTATTTATTTAACAATGTTTTTATAAATACTTCTAACCTTTATTAACTCACACAAAGACATAAACACAGTCATAAGCACAGACATAAACACTGATACCTAAACACTTATAATTCTGTTCTTGTAAGTATAAGTATAAACATGATACTGATGTTACTTATGATTTATGAACTGTTAAGTAGCTTGAAAACCAAGACTATAATATAGTTGGCACTGTATGGAAAAAGTGAGTGCAATGTTTGACAGTTTTGTGGCACTCTGACACTGTTTATGTGTCACTCACAGCTGTGGAGACCATCTTGGCCAGGTGCAGGAATCCTCTTGTCAGGGAGTAACAGTTGACACTGTCCACCAGCCGTCACTGTCACCTTATATACCACTGACCAACAACCTGACACCACCACTAATTACTGCCTGATCACCTGACCTCTGATGACAGTTCACACCGAAAAGGAAACCTGTGGTTGACTGTTGTAATGAACGTTGACCAAATATCATGAGAAGAACTTTTAGCAACTACTGAGGAAGCTGAAGCATTGCTTCACACACACACACACACACACACAACAGTAAGACAAGAGAGAGAGGGGTGGGTGGATTGCATATTCTTGGACTGCAAGAAGGCGTTTGACACAGTTCCACACAAGAGATTGGTGCAAAAACTGGAGGACCAAGCAGGGATAACAGGGAAGGCACTACAATGGATCAGGGAATACTTGTCAGGAAGACAGAAACGAGTCATGGTACGTGGCGAGGTGTCAGAGTGGGCACCTGTGACCAGCGGGGTCCCACAGGGGTCAGTCCTAGGACCAGTGCTGTTTCTGGTATTTGTGAACGACATGACGGAAGGAATAGACTCTGAGGTGTCCCTGTTTGCAGATGACGTGAAGTTGATGAAAAGAATTCACTCGATCGAAGACCAGGCAGAACTACAAAGGGATCTGGACAGGCTGCAGACCTGGTCCAGCAATTGGCTCCTGGAGTTCAATCCCACCAAGTGCAAAGTCATGAAGATTGGGGAAGGGCAAAGAAGACCGCAGACGGAGTACAGTCTAGGGGGCCAGAGACTACAAACCTCACTCAAGGAAAAAGATCTTGGGGTGAGTATAACACCAGGCACATCCCCCTGAAGCACACATCAACCAAATAACTGCTGCGAATTGGGCGCCTAGCAAACCTCAGAACAGCATTCCGACATCTTAATAAGGAATCGTTCAGGATCCTGTAAAACTGTATGTTAGGCCAATATTGGAGTATGCGGCACCAGTTTGGAACCCACACCTAGCCAAGCACGTAAAGAAAGCTAGAGAAAGTGCAAAGGTTTGCATCAAGACTAGTCCCAGAGCTAAGAGGTATGTCCAAACGAGGAGAGAGTTAAGGGAAATCAACCTGACGACACTGGAGGACAGGAGAGATAGGGGGACATGATAACGATATACAAAATACTGAGAGGAATTGACAAGGTGGACAAAGACAGGATGTTCCAGAGATTGGACACAGTAACAAGGGGACACAGTTGGAAGCTGAAGACACAGATGAATCACAGGGATGTTAGGAAGTATTTCTTCAGCCACAGAGTAGTCAGTAAGTGGAATAGTTTGGGAAGCGATGTAGTGGAGGCAGGATCCATACATAGCTTTAAGCAGAGGTATGATAAAGCTCACGGTTCAGGGAGAGTCACCTAGTAGCGATCAGTGAAGAGGCGGGGCCAGGAGCTCGGACTCGACCCCCCGCAACCTCAACTAGGTGAGTACAACTAGGTGAGTACACACACACACACAAACACCTGGAAGCTGGTAGAGGTCTCTTGGTCAAAGTTACTGAAGCGACCTTCCCTTTAAAAGATTGTTTATTCAAGGAATTTTAGCTAACATCCCTTTCCTTAGATACAATCTGTCTGCCTCTCGTTACCCAGACGCTGTGTGACGCCTGATATGCCTGATACTTAACCCTGAATACAAAAGTAATACTCTTACTGGTGCGTTACATACACTCTTTTGACACAAGCTCTAGCATGGTGAGAAGTAATCAAGAGGTTCACACTGCAGTCTACACGGTAGAATGAGTACATAACTGAGATTAACCACAGCTCTCAGTCACACCATAGAATTCGTGTGTCTTGTTATTAATGTGTGAGGTAACACTGTGGAGTTCGTCTAGCGTTTTCTATCAATATTCATAATTACTTCTGGCCTCACATTTTTGTCATGAGCTTATCTCTGGACAAACATTTTTGTCATGAGCTTATCTCTGGACAAACATTTTTGTCATGAGCTTATCTCTGGACAAACATTTTTGTCATGAGCTTATCTCTGACCAAACACTCTTGTCATGAGCTTATCTCTGACCAAACACTCTTGTCATGAGCTTATCTCTGGCCAAATATTTGTGTCATGAGCTTATCTCTGGACAAACATTTTTGTCATGAGCTTATCTCTGGACAAACATTTTTGTCATGAGCTTATCTCTGGACAAACATTTTTGTCATGAGCTTATCTCTGGACAAACATTTTTGTCATGAGCTTATCTCTGACCAAACACTTTTGTCATGAGCTTATCTCTGGCCAAATATTTGTGTCATGACCGTCTCTGTTACCTCTCGTGATACGTAATACTTTACTGTGGTATTTTCTTCTATATATATAGAAAGAGTTTCTCTTAGACAATTTGTATTTGAAGTATTTTGGTCGAAGTCTTTGAGTTTTTAATTCATATTTGTATGTTTGGTGGAGTGTTTGAGTGTGTTGTCACTCGCTTGTGGTTGGTGTTGGTGCGCTCACTGAGTTGTGTTTGTGGGGTTGATTCTCAGCTCCTGGCCCTATATCGTCAACATTCTTAACATTGATATGGTTTCCCTGTGTGTGGAAAAAGACATTTGTGTACAGTTCAAGACATTTATCACTTGAAACGTTTCGCCACAAATGGCTTCTTCGGTCCTAGCGACTGAGGAAGTCAGTCGTAATAAATGTCCTGTAATAAATGTCCCAGGTGTCCTTTCCACATCTCGTCGGTGTTACCACGGCTAACGCGTCGGTTTGGAGTTTTATGACTCTCTGATCCTGGGTTCTAACCCCACCTGTGGTACTTTTTTTATGCCATTTACTCTCTGTTTCTCTTGTGCATGAACTCCGAAGTGAATGTTTACGTATGAATTTGTTTAAAAGGCCTTTAGTCACTCTGAACGCTGATAATGTCTCTCCCCTCTATGATCTCTTAAATGTCTGTTTAGTTATGATTTCTCTGGAAAAGCCTTTAGACACTCTTAATATGGCTAGAGCTGCTCTAGTTTATAAACCCTCAAGAGTGTTTTAGGTGAGAGTTTCTTGTTACGTCCTTTAAATACTTTGAAAGTTGATGTAGTTTGTATCCTGCATGAATTATGTCGTTATTAAATTGCATTTTTAAAGGTTTTCAGATATTCTGTACGTCTATAAGGTTTACCTGCATAAAAACATAAGAAATCAGCAGCACATTAGTAGGCCTATTGACTCATGCTAAGCAGGTCAGACTGAAAGCTTGCTCCCTATATTCTTTCTAAATCTATATTGTCTAACTTGAACTCATTGCTGAGAGTCCTGTCTTGGTTAGATATTTCTATGACTTTATTCGCATCCCCTTTATTTATTCCATTTTTTCACTCGTTTGCTTCAGTTATATCGGCCCTTATTTTATGCCCTTCCACAGAATGCAGATTCAGGGCCTCAGTCTATCCTCATAGGGAAGATTTCTGATACATAGGATCAACTTTGTCATCCTCCTTTGTACGTTTTCCAGAGCATTTATATCCATTCTATAATACGGTGACCAAAACTGTGCAGCATAATCTAAATGAGGTCTTATCAAAGGTATATAGAGTTGAAGAACAACCTGAGGACTTCTATTATTTATGCTTCTTGATATGAAGCCAAGAATTCTGTTACCTTCACTGAGAACACTTATGCACTGTTGTCTTCGTTTCACATTACTGCTAAACAGAACTCCTAATTTTTTTCTCATTATGGCACTTTATAAGTGCCATAGTTATTTCTTTTTCCTCTCATTTCTCTTTATCAAACTGTATCTGCCCAATCTCTGACCATTGCATCAATTCAGGTCATCCTGCAGCGCTCTAGTGATCTCACAAGGATTTATATAACGGCCTAATTAAGTGCCACCGTTAAACTTGCCTATGTCACTGTTTATTCCCCCATCTGTGTCGTTAATGTATATTATGAACAACAAAGGGGCTAACACTGACTCCTGTGGAACACTGCTCGTGACGTGTTTCCGCTCTGATTCCTTCCCATTAACACAAATGGTTTACAAAATCGACTCCAGAGTGAACCTTGAAGTGTTCCAATTACTCCGATGTTCTTAAACGAACACTACGTAGATTACAATCACTACGGGCACTACAATCACTACAATCACTACGGGCACTACAATCACTACAATCACCTACACCGTTTCTCTCCTGAATGAATTTTTAATTGTAATTGTTTTACTAATGCAGAGTTTTTGAAAGACTTTTAAACCACAGTCAAAGGAATTACTGGTTTATGGCATCTTGGGATCTATCATACCTACTCCTGAAACTGTGCATGGCTTTCCCTTCAGTCATTTCCTCCTTTAGATCCATCAGTTCATATTACAATATATAGCTTTGTCGTGCCTCTTCTTAAAGCTATGTATGGATCCTGCCTCTACGTCATCGCTCTCCATATTGTTCCACTTCCTGACAACTCTGTGACTGAAAAAATACTTCCTAACATTCCTGTGACTCATAATTTCATTTATTTACTACAAGTACAAGGTATACAGACCATAGCTGACATCAGTGACATACTACTATATAGAAAGCCGCTTGTTATGCTGAGCATTTCCCGCAAATTAGGTCAGTTTTGTCCCAGGATGCGACCCACACCAGTCCACTAACACCCAGGTACCCATTTCACTGATGGGTGAACATAGACAACCGGTGTAGGGAAACACGTCCGATGTTTCCACCCCTTCGCCGGGAATCGAACCCGAACCCTCACCGTATAAAGCGATAGCTTTTGCCACCAAGTCACGGGGCACCTCGAGTTGTGTCCCATGGTTGTGTCCCAGTGTTGTGTCCCAGTGTTGTGTCCCAGTGTTGTGTCCCAGTGTTGTGTCTCAGTGTTGTGTCCCAGTGTTGTGTCCCAGTGTTGTGTCCCAGTGTTGTGTCCCAGTGTTGTGTCCCAGTGTTGTGTCCCAGTGTTGTGTCCCAGTGTTGTGTCCCAGTGTTGTGTCCCAGTGTTGTGTCCCAGTGTTGTGTCCCAGTGTTGTGTCTCAGTG